ACCTCCTTTAAAGTCTTGAGATAACTCAGCAGTTAAAGTACCTGCCACGCAAGTGTGAGAACCAGCGCTGGACCCCCAGAAAGTCACATAAATATCTGGTGGGCCTGCCTGTAACCCTAGCCTCCAAAGGCAGAGAGACACAGGATTCAAAAAACAGTCCGGGCATATTGGTGAATTCTGAATTTGACTGAGAGACCAACTCTTCCTTAATGAATAAAATAGGTGATTTATCAACTGTAGCCGTCCACATGCTCACACATGTACATCCACCCTATGCATACAAACACATGTGTGTTCCCACACATGCAAAATCATGCACATGCATACAGGTATACCACACAGAGACATAAAAATGAGGAAAGAACTGTGGTCTCGCTGGCTTAAGGTTTGGTCTTGGGTGGTGGGTAGGTGGTTGGTTTTATTTGAGATGGGGTCTGAGTAACCCAGGCTAGCCTTGGATTCATGACAATCCTCCTGTCTCAGCTTTCCAAGTGCCTGGACTTCTAAAGCCAAATTACATATCAAATGTAGTTTAGTAACAAGTGTCTGTGACTACGGTCAATAAAACAAATGATAGCTCATGCTGGCAAGGATATGGAGCAAGGAGACTACTCCTCGGTGGGGATGCAAATTTGTATAGCCACCACGGAAATCAATATGGCTGTTCCTCAGAAAGATGGGAATTTATCTTCCTCAATATCCGGCTATACTACTCTTGAGCATATACCCAAAGAACATTTCATCCTACTACAAAGACACTTGCTCAATCATGTTCATTGCTACTCTATTCATAATAGCCAGAAACTGCAAACCTGGATGTCCCTCAACAAATGGATAAAGAAAATGTATATTTACACAATAGAGTATTTATTACTCAGCTGTTTAAAAAAAATGAAATCATAAAATTCACAGGTAAATGGATGGAACTAGAAAGAAAATCAGCCTGAGTGAGGTAACCCAGACCCAGAAAGACAAATATGGAACACATTTGTTTATATATGGGTTTAGCTGTTAAGTCAATGATAACCAAGCTATAATCTTATAGAAGACGAAGAGAGCTGGGCAGTGACGGCACAAGACTTTAATCCAAGCACTTGGGAGACAGAAGCAGGCAGATCTCTGTAAGCTTGAGGCTAGACTGGTCTACAGATTGAGTTCCAGGACAGCCAGTATGCTGTTACACAGAGAAACCATGAGGGAGAGGGCAGATATAGAGTAAGGGACTGGGTGTCAGATAGCCCTCCCTAGGAAAGGAAAATAGAATAGTCATGGCAAGATCGGGTGGGGACTGGAACAGGAGGATCAAGTAGGGAGAGGGAAGTAAGAGGGGGACAAGCAAGGGAATATGGGGAGGTACAGCTAAAATTCAGGGCCACGTGAGGCAGGTGAGTATGAAAACACTGTAGACGCTTCCTAAATATATAAACATATGAAGGCAATCTAAATGAAATCACCAGATAATAGGGGAGAGAGAGACCCAACTGGACATCTCTTGTCACCAAATGAAGCTTCTAAACTAGGATTGGGCTACATCTGATTGAGTTGTTGGCCAAAGGGGTCCCATGGGAGTGCTCGAACAACCCACACTGTTGCCAAGACAAACTGACAGCAAGGCCCCATTGCTGAAGACAATACCTACACAGCTCACTGAACATGGACAAGTATGGAGAAGTAAAGCCGGTGCCTACCTAGAGTTTCCACCCTACGCCACCTAGCATCTTTGGTACAGGAAGGTACTCTGCATGCCACACAGGAGAAATGTTAACACCAGTCCAACCACAAACCTTCTGCTCTACAATGGGGTACTCCCTGCAGGGAATGATAGCACAATGGTGGTCCCAAGCTGGTGGGAGTAGCCAACCAACATCCGATTTGATTTGAGACCTACTTCACAAGATAGACTCCATCTCTGGTAATACTTAAATGAGTAAGAACCTGAGACTAGATATCGCAGGGACCTAGGAGAAAACCAAATACTACAGTTCTTAAAAAAAAAAAAAAAAAACAGTAAAATGGAACCTAATGACATTCTGCTATCTCATAGATCAGTGCCTTGTTCAGAAATCATCAAAGAAGATTCCTCCTGCAGCATACAGGAACACATACATACCCACAGACAGACAAGATACAAAAATTGAGAGACCTTGGAACACTCCAGTAGAAAGTGTATTAGAGCCAGAGGGGATGAAAAGAGCCTATGAAAAGACATCCTAAATATCCCCAAATCATTCCCAGTAAGTCTCACAATTGCTGTCAATAGCACAATTCTACTTTGAAATCTCCAAGTCCTTCCCTGGAATACCACTGTTTTTGTTGTATGAAATGAAACACATCATTCTGGCTGTTTCACAGTTCACCAAATGACAAGGCTCTCTGGAGCAGTGCAAACAGCAAGGGGCATTATGACAAGGAGTGCCTGGGTCACAGGTCATCACAAAAGTGGCCCTTCACTCAATTATTCATTAAGCAAATGTTTATGAAATGCCAACCACACTTGATTGCGACCTTCCATTTGATAAGCTATGTGATGGGTTAGGCGTTGCATGTACAAAAAAAATTTTTTTAAAAATAAAACATTTCAGCAAATAATAATAATAATAATAACAACTTTCTAGACAGTCACCAAAATCTATTGCTCTGCTCCTACTACTGCCAAGGTTCTTACTAATTCTGGTGACAGCAGGAGGACCTAATTGTTACCAGGTTCCAGTTGTTGGGGTGGCTGATTTGTGAGTCACACAGCACTGCCTCTGTGAGTAAGGTTTATCAATAACATCGGCATGTGGAGGCAGAGGGAACATCAGCTAGGTTTTTGTGTTTTGTTTTGCTCTGTGTGGTATCTGTGCCTCCTCTTTCTTTATCCCCCACACCTGAATCACTCTTTTAATTGAAATGTCTTTAGTGTTTAATGGCATATTTATCGGTGTGTCCTCCATGCTCATACACACACAGCAGAGATCCAGGGCCTGGAACTCTTTGGGGAGAGCACTGTAACTTATTTTATTTGGAGGTTCATTATAAGAGGACAAAATTACTCAGAGAATTAGGTGCACAACCTTAAGAGACACCGTTTGCAAGTGAGAGGATTATAAAGCACATGCTTCATTAGCTTCAGAGTAAAACACCTCAACTCACACTATAGCTATAAGCATATATTATGATGTGGCGGCACCTTCTCAGGATTTGTTTTACTTTTACAAAGTATCAATATATAAGCACTCTTATGTGTCCTTTTAAAAAATAAATTATAGAAAGCATTCCAAGAGAAGAATAGGTCAATTCACTTTTTTAAATGACTACATAAGTGATATATGTTTAAATGTTTAAATGAGTCTTGTCCATTATAAATGCACTGTCCTCTATTTCTAGTTTTCTGGAGTTTCTTTCCTTCCTTCTTTCCTTCCTTCCTTTCTAAAATGAAAAGATTCTTCTGCCACTACTAAAAAAGTCAAACACACACACACAATTTGAACAATAGTCTCAAATTTTAACAAATTATCAACTTTGTTAAATCTAGATTTTCTGAACTTAATGGTGTGTATACAAGAACACGGAATGTGTTTTTCCATTAAGCCATGTCCCATCTATAGGGAATTTGCTGCCTACTAAGGAAATGAAAGTTATATGTAAATGGCCTTGATGTAAGAAAAATGGGCACAAATTGTGAATAGTGAAACTAAGAAGACAGAATTCCAGAAGGAACATCTGGTCTCCACAAATTCTGCACACACATGAAATGAGGAGTAGGGGGGTAAGAACGATGAAGGACTGCATAAAGCATTCGAGAAGTGGTCAACAGGCAGCTCGGAGGGACTGGAACAGGACTGGGCATAGCAAGGAATGGCAGTGAGGCTCCAGAGGTAGCCAGAGTTTGGCAGAACTGAGAGAGTGGGACAGAGGGTTACTCATCCCACTGCAGGGCCAAGAACAAGACAAGAGGGAGTGCTGTTTTAAGATCATCCAGCTAGGCTTGTGGAAGAAGCCTGAGAAAGGGACCACAGCTCAGGTAGAAAGCAACTTTAGCAGTCCAGGGAGAAGAGTTCTGACCCAGGGCAGAGTAAATGACAGCAGACTGCAAAACGAGACAGAAGGCATCCTCCAGTACCAGCCATGGGAACCCACCACTCACAAGACAGTGGTGGGGTAGAGAGGGGAAATCTGGTCTTGAGCCTGGGGTAACAGGTAGATGAATGGATCAGAAGACCAAGTGTGAACAGTTTAACCTTCAAACACAGGGCACATTTTACACACAAGCAAGATATTCAAACAGACATACTCTGGACAGCAGCCCAAACAGGGAAGTCTGCTGCAAATGCTGGGAGAGCAATGTAGCCAATAGTTCTCCTGGAAAAACCCAAGGGATGAGCTATGCTCAATCGGCATTGGTCCTCCTCACCTTCTACAGGCTCCTCCCCTCACAAAAAGAAAAGTTAACTGCCTCTGAACCTCTCCCATCCTACTGCAAAGTGTCCCTCAGCACTGCTGTATGGCACCAAGCAGAGTAGACAAGCATCCCTAACCACTAGGCACCACTGAACAGGTAGAGCTCACAATGGTGCCACGGGGAAAAGAGCAGCCACGTGTTACAACTAGGTGCGTGCAACTGAGTTTCCAAATCAAATGCGTATCACGGAAAGTATTCTAAAACCTACTTTTGCCTTAAATGAGACTTTACTTTTAATGTAAAAGTAATATAGAACTTAACTACCAAGCTACACTTCAAAATTATCTTGCTAAAGGTACACAGAGACTGTCAATAAAGTTTGACAAGAGAATAAATATATAGGTAGGTAGGTAGGTACATTGACAGATGATAGATAGATAGATAGATAGAATAGAACTCTTTACTACATTAAAACTTGATGACCCCACATTAACCAAAGCTGACCACTATTTAAAAAAAATGATAAATGGTTTAATTAAAGAGTAATAGTACTATCTTTTTTTTAATTTCGCCAACATGAAATTATATGCCACAAAAGAAAATTAAGTATACAAACCTCATAATGTTCATATTCATCCACATCAAATGTCTCGAAGTCAAAAAATCCATGCTGTAATCCCTAGAAGTAGAACTGAGTTAGTTGCCTGCACACAACACAAGCGAGAAACTACTCATCGATTCTGGGACATCTAATCCCAGTCCCACTACCCTCAATGCAAAAGTCTCAGACTTTAGCTTTTCCTGCTTCTCTAGAGTCCCAACACTGAAAACCACGAAACTAAATACGACTGGTAATGTGAAAATGTACCCCACAAAAGGTGCCTCCTCTCCAATTTCTATCAGTTCTATATACGAAATGAATAACCTACATAAAATGGAACGTACTAGAAAAGCTATAGCCAAAACCTATCAGGAACCAGATTTAGGACAGAATACATAACAGTCACTAACGTCTCAAACAGGAGTAAAGTCAAGTTGGTTCTTAGAAAAACGTGCCTTCCTTCTACCATTTACCAAAAAAGGCATTTTTACTTAATGGCCCTAAATTCCTAAAAGTATATTTTGGAGGTATTTGTTTTCTAATGGTAGTTTAGGCGGGTGGAATAAATCAGAAAGAATGGACTTTTTTAACAAAAGAATTATCTCATACCTTTTTTTTTTTTTTTTTTTTTAAGCAGTAACAAAACTCTTTAAAATTAGCTAGTTTACACCTAATATTTTCAGGAAAATAGAAGTCCTTTTTTTCTTTTTTTAATAAACTGGTAAGCTATAGAGGTGACAACCAAATATAAAGCCACAGTTATATTTAAAAGTTACATGATCAAGTCATTTAAAATAGAAAAAGATACCAGTAAGCCAAGCAACAGTACATGGCGATGAGTCTACATTTCAGAATGTGGAACTCGAACCTTCTATACCAGTAACACCAAGACTACTTATAAAGTAGGCTCCTGGGTCCCTTCTCAGAGCTAGTAAATCAGATTCTTTGGGACCAGGGCACAATACCAGCTTCTTCAAGTTATTTATTTACTTAGACACATTCTCACACAGCCTAGGCTGGCCTTGAACTGGCTGATGACTTTAAAATACTGATCATCCTGCCTTCTCCTCCTGAATGCTGGGACCACAGGCATAACCATCACCATAACCAATGCATGTGGTATGGGGGGGGGGGTGGAATCGAACCCAGGGCATCATGCATGCCACACAGGCAGCTGAGCTGCAACCCAAACTCAGGACACACACACACTATTAATTCCAAAGAAAACTCAACAATCCACTCCCTGCCCCTCTTTATCTTTAAACTATGTGGTTGTCTCTGCATGTTCATACAACATATAGACAAGTGGTCATGACAATGGCAATACATCAAAGTCTGAAAACTACCCTCACTTTAACAGGCAGTTTTTAACATGCTTTCCCTGGTGGTTCTTATAGATACTACATTCTGGCAACAATTACAAACTGCAAAACAAATGGAACACATTCTATAAATTATAATTATTTCAACTTTTAAAGGCTAATTAGGTTGAGCTTGGTGGCAACCTGGTAAACACAGCAAGTTTCAGGCCAGCTGGGGCTACATGGAGAGACAGACCAGATCTCAAAAATAATAATTACTTAATTTAGTTAAAATAAATAGCTAATTAGTTCATCCATACACACTATTAATTCTAGAGAAAACAACAATATACTGTTTTGCCTTTCTCTTTAAACTGTGTTTTCTCTGCATGTTCACACAGCACATGGACAAGGTGTTATGATAATGGTAATATATCAAAGTCTGAAAATACCCTTAAAAGGCAAAAGCATGAGCACACTCTGTATATGTTCCCAAAAGGATATGCACTCAGTAGACAAAAATGCTTTGTACGTGTCAACTTAAGCAAGGGAGTCTAGATGGGCGCACATGTCTCTACTGGAGACACGATGAAAAACCTATCAGCGCCTTTTAAAACATCATCTGCACTTGAGAACAGCCCAACAAGAGAAAAGACTATGTTTAGAAAAGCCTTTATTCATAAAGTCACACCTTTCCTGTAGGGCAGGAAGGATGTCATAAATTTCTATATTGAGATGCCAGATGCCATATAGGGAGCAGGGCTGGTCCAGAGGGAACTGTGTGAATTTCATAAGCACTACAAAAGCCCCAGCCTCTGTCAGATGGCAGGGAGGCAAAATAATAATAACCAGGACAATAAATGCTCTCTTCCCTCGGGCGTGTTTCCTAAGTGCTTTAATAGTGGCTTGCATGTTGGGTAACCTGTCCATAAAGCTCTAGACTACTATTTATGGGTGAACATTTGGGCTATGCTGTTGGCAAGAGTGGGATTGAATGTTTCCATAGCTCTTCTTGTTGATTTGTTTTTGTTCAGTTTTAATTACTTTGATGTTTTTGAGAGTTTAAAACCAAAGGAGCTGGAGAGATGGCTTAGCAGGTAAGAGAGTTTGTTGCTCTTGCCAAGGACTCGAGTTGGGTTTGCGGCATGCTTGTAGCTCACAACCCTGTGTAGCTCTAGTTCCAAGGGTTGCAACGCCCTCTTCTGACCTCTACAGGTACTACACATACATAATGCAAATACCTATGTGCAGGCAAAACACTCTGACACATAAAAATTTCTCTTACATAAAATAAAATCGCTTAAGAATGAAATAGTAAAATCATAATAATGAATAAATGGCATCTTTACCCTGATTTTTTCTCAAAACAGGGCAAAGTCCACAGAAATTTGAGCTAGAATACTGCTACCAAATTCATAGCTGGGCAGGTCATGTAAAGCCATATTTCTCACTGGCAAATGCCAGCTGCCCCTTCACCATGGAGCTGTGTCCTCTGAGCCCTTTACAGAATTCATAGTACAGCCTGCACAGCTTCTCGGGCTGGAAATTAAACCTGTGCCAGACATTGCTTCACTTTTCCATTAGCTACATAAATAATTAAATCACTATGCTTAATTAACTAACTTTACAGTGCATCAGTCACCCGGGGGTATTGTTCAAACATAGACCACAGGGCCTCACCCACCCCAAGACTTTATGATTCAGGTCCATCTGGCACACCGCCAACCACTGACAACGGGTGGCTTAGATAACCTCATGCCCCTCCCACACCAAGAGCCAGCTCAAAACTAAGACAAATGGGTGATGGAGCCATGCCATGGTCACGGCAGCAGACAACGAACACGTTTGTCTCAGAGTACAAATGGCTTAAATGAGGAAGGGTGGTCTCTCTCTTCCACCCCTCCCCCACTGCCCTCCACTTTCCTGTCCCAGTCAAGATACAAGTGGGTTCTTGCACTTCCAAATATTTTTAATCTAAGGCTGGCTGGATTTGTGAATAAAGAACCAGAGCAGGTGCAGGGTTGGAGAAAGAGGTAAGTGGGCTATGAAAATGAGGAATGTACATTATATACATGCATAGAATTTTCGATGAATAAAATATAAATCTTTTAATTTTAAAAAAGAAAGCACAGAAACTGAGGGCTGACTGTATTTTTACAGATCAATTATTCAAGAGGAAAAAGGTCTTCCCCTTACTGACTCCAGTTCCTTCCAACAACAGGAAGAATCTTTGGAGAAAGAGTGGTAACATTACCTTTCTGATGCCTTGTAAACAGTCAAGGATGGTGAGGTTGTAAGTGCAATTTCCAAAGGATGCGTCCCTACAAACACAAATAAATGGCATTAGAAACATGCATCCAGATTTTCAAATAGGGAAATGCTAAGTCAGTAAGTCAGTTGGGCATTTTAGCTGGACTTCATAGCAGACGCAAGAGCCCAAGCCTTCATTTGTATTTCCACCCTGTATGCCATGGGTACAGGCTTGAATGAGTTCCTTTACCTACCAGAGTCTTGGTATCCTTGTATATGAAATGAAGGTAATGACAGCTATCAGATGCCATAAAAAATATGAAAGGTCCTCCATCTATTGCCCGGCACAGCAGAAGCACTTAAATATTACAGCCACTGTTATCTTTGGGGGGAGCAGGGAGATAACACAATCTTCTTATATAATCCAAGCTGACCAGGAATTACTGTGTAGTACAGACTGGCCTCAAACTTGTGGCAAACCTCCTATTTCTGTTTCCCGAGGACCCAAATCAGCAGCTGTATCTCAGGACACCTAGTTCGTGACTACTCTGAATAATGGTGAATTGGGCTGTCTCATCAAGTGAAGCATGCATGACTATATAAGCATTCTGGCAGGGAAAACCTCATGTCAGGAACCAGTGAATCCAAGCCTAAAAAGGTACAGAGCCAGGGGTCAACAGAGCCTGGTAGTCATGTTAATATTAATCCCCTGCAAAGAAGAAACAAAATAACTAAATTGCAGCTAATCTTCCCAACAAGTTGTTATGTTTACTCAATAAGAGCTCTGAATGCACTGTAAAGAGCTCTCAAGAAGTCTGGGGAACATGCCTTTAATCCCAACACTCAGAAGGGAGGCAGAGGCTGGCGGATCTCCATGAGTTCAAGGCCAGCCCCTGCCTTGAACTCTACAGAGTGAGTTCCAGGACAACCAAGGGTACACACAGAACCTGTCTCAAAACAAAAAAAAATAAAAATAAAAGACTGGGAACAAAAACTAAAATTATCTAATATTTATTATGGTGTGTGTGTGTGTGTGTGTGTGTGTGTGTGTGTGTGTGTGTGTGTCAGAGAGAGAGAGAGAGAGGGAGAAAGAGAGGGGAGAGAGAGAGAGAGAGAGAGAGGTCAGAGGCATCCCCTAAAGATGGCATTATAGGCAGAGGTAAGCTACCTGAGGCATGTGCTTGGAATTGAATTTGGGTCTTCTACTAGAATAATATAAGTTCTTAACCACCGAGCCATCTGTCCAGTCCCCCCCCCCAAAAAAAAAACTGTTTGTAATCAAAACATAATATTTAAACCTATTGTGCTGAAAATTGAGGGCTCTGAGCTGTTTTGTAGAGCAGCTTAACCAATCTATTTCAGGCAACCTAAAACTAAAGTATCAAGTTCGGGTCAGCTAAGCAAGTACTGGTCCTGGAGCTTTAACAGGAGCAGGGCTCCAAGGTGTGGCAGCAAGAAACTTGACCCGGAGCTTCTTAGTCCCTCAGCTGGGCCCCACTGCTGACCCAAGAAAAGGGCTGTCAAGCACTGAGACTGGCACAGTCAAATGTCCCAAACAAGGTTGGCTCAAGGACAGCATCCCGGAAGGGTGCCAGAAGAACCCTGCCTTTCACACATAATTAACATAAAACCAAGTGTTATGTCACCAACTATCCAAGGGAGCTTGATCCTGCCGCATCTAAGCTGTGAGTTACAAAGCAATTGCTTCACCATTCAGTCTCCAATAGCATCACACGAAAATAGTGACTTATCACAGCTTAACAGAAATGTCTCTTGAGCTCTCACACTTCTATGCTCGTCAGTGTGAACAGGAAGGCCTAACCGGACTTCAGCAGGGGCATCATTGATTCTGTCCATGTGGTTTTTAAATGCCATCTGAACTCACCGGTCCAAACGCAACAGTTCCCTTCCCACACACGTTGAAAAGGTCTCAGTTCTGAGATGACCTATTAGTTTATAGGAATACAAATTCCTTTGCACACACCTATCTCTTTAGGATGAGAGGGCTTATCTTAAAGATGAGCATCTTAGCAGCCCTCTTGGCCAGTGATCTGATAATGTCTAAGAGCCATTCTTTCCTTGTAGTACGGTTTAGTACACAAGATGAAATACACAGGGTTACCAGGAAGGGGGCTCAATTCAATTTAAATGAAGTTCCCCAAAATATAAAAACAGAATTTTCAATACCCTGTGAGTGTTTTTTAGTTGGTGAGGGGGTGTGGTAGAGTGAGTATGCTTACCTGGCATAAATAAGCTCCCTGGCCACCCCCATCACACTCAGATTTGGCAAACTGCTTTAATTTTCAAGAAGGTGTAAGTATAGATTAATATCTTAAGATACAACAATGACGTGATAATAATATGTCTGCCTGTGATTTCTATTGTGACAGTCACTGATGATTCTACTCTAGCAAACGTCCAACATTTGTAATTGAATTTAATCTCAGAAACTAGAAGGAGAGTAAAAATTAAAATGCAATGTTTTTCACTGACTCTGAATTCTCTTGGTAAATGTAGGTTCAAGTGCTTTAAGTGTTGCAAGTTTTAAAATACAAAATAAAATAAAACTAATCTAAGGGCTGGGGAGACAGCTCAGGTGAGAAAGTGCTTACCTTGTAAATTTGAGGAACCGGACTGGATTCCCAGAATCCACATTTTTTCTTTAAGCCTGGTATGGTATGGGGGTGTACTTGTAATCCCAGCACTAAGGAGACAGAGATGGGGACCAGGAGAGCTGGGATCCCTGGGGCTTGCTGACCAGCTAGTCCCACCTCCCAAGCATGTTCCAGGCCAGAGAGAGTTCCTGTCTCAAAAAAGTGGATAGTCCCTGGGGAAGTACAGTCATGGTTGTCCTCTGACATCCACACACAAGCTCATACACAAGCTGTACACACTCATACACATGTACTCATGCATGCAGAGAAAGAGAGACTTGGAGGTCCTTCCGCCCCAAGTCTATCTCTATCCGTAGATGCACTTGAACAAGTATATAAACACGAGGTACCAGAGAAAGTGCCTGGCCCAGGCTGCCTGGATGTCTGCAGAGAACATTGAGATTCTCATGATACCTCATGTACTTTCACAGCCCCACTACTGCAAATGACTGACAAGCAAGTTCTGGTGATGCAGTGAAAGTTAACACGCCCTAGACAGGGTTGGTACACAATGCTGTCACTACAGACTTAAAAGACAGAAGTTTGCAAACTGAAATCAAATAATAGAACCAAGTATCAAGTCTATCCTCCAACCCAGGACAGATGACAAGCCTTGAGAGCCTACTGTGCCAGGTGGCTTAGATGCATTCGTGCACAGAGCCTCATGACTGCTAGCTAACAGCAACAGGATCCCACATCCTGTCTCCACCCTGGGCAAGAGAGAAGAGACTTATTAGGGGTATCTGGTTCAGACACAGTTGCAGGAAAGTAAACAGGGCAGAGACGGCCAAAGCAAACACACACACAAATACCAGCAAAGGTAGAACACTGACCCATGCATGCATCTACTATGTCCTTTCAACTCTCATTAAAGGCTTTCTTTCTCCAAAATCAAGCAAGACAGGGATTGGGGCCAGGGCCATAGTCTCTAAACTGGAAATCAGGTGGATAAATAGGAAACCAAGAAAAATGAATACTTAGCAATTGATGGAAAAATTCTCGAGGGGCTGGAGAAGTGGCCACACTGGGCCCTTCTAGAGGTGAGGTTGAATGAAGGAATTGATTCAATGAGATTGAAAAGTTCGCTGAAGACCTTGAAAGGTTTACTCCACAGGAGCAATGTTACCTCCCATTAAAGAAACCACCCTCACGGTGGATATTCATGAACCCCTCGGAACAGTGAAACAGGAAGAGCTGTTTGTAAACAGTGCAGACGACCTGCTCAAAATGACCTGCAGACTTGAATGTTTCTTAAATGTGTTCTGAAACAAGGACTTCGAGAGCTTGGGAAACATCTGGCTCTGCTAAAAACGTCCCTTCCTGCCCTAAAGCCCATTACTACTCAAGACTTTGGGTTCTCTTTTCCTTCCCATATCTCTCTCCTCCCCCAACAAAATTTAAACAATTTCAGCCTTTCGTTATCTTTCTAAAAAGAGCTAGTCATCCAAAACTTGCTTGATTCCATACCGTCCTTCAGCTACCACCTTGTCTCTTTTTAAAAATAAGATCACTGAAGGCTGTCTTCATTTTTCCAGTGGTTTTTATTTTTATTGTGTGAATAGTACAATCCTGTCGCCATTCAGTCCAGACCATTCTCACCACACCCAGAAGAAACTATTCATCTGCAGCCACTCCTCCTCTCCCAACCCCTTGGCAACCACTCAGATGCTCTGTGTCTATGAATTTACTTGCTCACTCTACATCCACGGAACATTCTGCAAGGACCATCTCAGCAAGAAGTACCCTCTCCTTTGAACACTGTCACCTTGTGACCTGGACTTCACTTACTCCTCTGTCATTACTCCCCAGAACCCATTGCAAAGTTGTTCTCTAAAGGGAGACCTCAGGAAGTGCCACGCCAGGCCCCAACTCCTGTTGCTGCAGACCCTCTGTCAAGACTTTGACTTGCATCAGCATTACCTGGGTGACTCCTTAAAAACACATAGAAACATGGAGTTTCTGAATCAGCAGGTCTAAGCCAGGGCCTCAGATCCTGCAATTCTAAAGCTCTCAGCTGATGCTGACACTGTAAGGATAAGGGGGCACCATCCTACAAAGAATCATCAGCATAAATCACTTTTATGCAGTGACCCTCAAATCTATGTCTCCATACAACATCTAAGAACTCCAGAAACAGTACAGCGCCAGGTGTGTTGGCATATGCCTGTAATCCCAGTACCTGGGAACGAAGGAAGAAGATTTTTTTATGATTTAGATGCCAGCCTAGACTAAACAGCAAGATCTTGTCTCAAAGAAAAAAAAAAAAGGTGGTGGGAGGGAACCACCTAACTTTAAAAAAAAAAAAAATAGTGTAAACATCTTACTATTTAATGCCTCAAATTCACTATGTAAGAAAAAAATTTCTTGGGCTGTTAGTAGAATTCTTGCCTAAAATGTACAAGGCCTGGATTGGATTC